CGGGCCCGGCTCCAGCAGCGCCGCGGGGCCCTGCGCGGCGGCCGGCTCGCAGGCGAAGGGCTTCGCCACGCCGGGGGTGTAGGCGTCGCTGCCAAACGGTTTACTGCCGTGGAAGTCCGAGTCAGACAAGAACGATCTCCGGACCCCGTAGTAGCCTGACATGACCGGCGAGCCTGGGGCCGGACGCAAAAGCAAGGGTCAAGCCCCCCGCAAGGCCGACGCGCCCCCAGCGCGTGCCCAGCACCCGCGTCACCGCGGGAATGGACAAAGGTCTTGATAAGGGCGAAATACACCTGACTTACATTAGAAACCCTGTCAGCCTCAAAGATGCTTTAAGAGTGCACTCTGCTTTGGGAGACGGGTTCACCTAGGACCACACGGTAGCTGTCAGCCATTCGCTCTGCAAACGCGCAAACCGCGCGTCTTCCAGGCGCTGGACGCCGCTAGGGTGGCGCTGGCGTTACAGAGCTAAGTCGGAGAATCCCTGGCATCGGCATTTTATCCTGTAAGAGTCTTTCCGGCTTCTGAGCGGTGTGTGTTTCCATAAGACACAGGACTGGGTACAGGGGCTGCTCGTGGCCTGAGACACTGCACTCTGGGTGAGGTAGCACACGCTACCCCACCGCAAGTCAGAGGCAGCCTGTACTCTGTCTTCTATTTTTTTTTTTTTTTGCACACCGGCCTTTAACACAGTGCCTTGTATGCATCAGTAAAAGTCTTGCTTTTAGGGGCTGGGGATTTAGCTCAGCGGCTCAGCGGCACAGCGCCTGCCTGGCAAGCGCAAGGTCGTGGGTGCAATTCCTGGTAACGGAAAAAAAAAAAAAAAGTCTTGCTTTGGGGTAACATGGCTGCAGAGAAGCCCCATGTGGAGGACCACAAAATATGCTCCCAGGCTTTGATGTTAAATGCTGCCCTCCTGTGGCCGTGCGGAGTTCCTCCCTGAGCTCACCCGGGCACCGCAAGTTTAGGAAGGGTCCCCGGGACAGAAATTTTCCTCGGCCGGGGAAGAGAAGACGCTGACGCCGAGGAGAGCCTTATGATTCCAGAAGAAAAAGAGAGATGTGTTTGCTAAGCACTTTGACCCCACAGCTCAGTTGTCGTAGGCAACACCTGGTCATTAGCATGTGCTTGGGAGCGCAGACTCAAGGTCTGGGTATGATGCTTTTAGTACTACAGCTAGTACAGGTGCGGCCAGCTGGCTAAGACCAACAGGTCCCTGAGGTCACAGAGCTCCCTGAGGTCACATAGGGCTGAATCGGGGAGAGAATACAAGTGATTTCCTTCTCTGCCTTCCTCCAACACCGAGGAGGACTCCTAGAAGAGCTTTGTCCCTGGCCACCCTCACAGTCTGTCCCTCTGGGAGGAAGGGAATCTCATTAAGACCTTTTCTCAGGTTATCCATGACTCAGTCATACCTGACTCAGAACTTTGACCTCAGCCACATGCTATGGTGCTTTATTTTATGCTCATTATATTTTCACCCATTTCAGCTGTCTTTCCAGTCAACTTGCAAACTCTCTGGTAGCAGAATTCATGTCTTGTACATTTTCTGTACAAAGACAGAAACAAAGTAATATAATATTCCTTTCCACAATTACATGTGAATTCATCCATTTGGAAGAAGCAACCAGATGCTCTTTTGAAATTCACTACATTTTCATCTTAAATTCTAGACCCCAAGTTTCTGAGCCTCTCATGCATTTGAAAGCTGTGGTTAGAGTCCTAATAATAAGCATACTTCTCTGGGAGAAAAAAATCTGTGCAAATGTAAATTAATATCAATAAGTGAGGTTCTGCTTCATGTCACGATTTCATATGCACAGGTGTGGTTAAGGCTGAGGACAGAATGAAGACTAGGCAAACAAAGCTCACAGGCTGTCATGTTGGTATTTCCAATTTTCAAGGAGAAACAATCATGAAGAAAAATATTCCTCTTTGCTCTCTGAGCAGATCTATTTTCTCCTCAAAAAGAGAAAGGATAATTCTAAGTGAAAAGAGAAACTGCAGAAACTTCCTTCTGTGGAAGACAGCAGATGCAAGCAAGCTCCAATATAATAAATACTACTGGGAAACAGAATAGAGAAACATTCCTGTACTGTATTTGGGATACTCGGTGGCTGTTCTTCCTCCCTCTTCTCTGCCACTTAAGATACTGAACTTCTGAGAAGGACCATGGCACTTTTAAGTTGGACATCTAGAAGAGATTTGTGTGTGTGTGTGTGTGTGTGTACCCAACATATTAACAATGCCTCTTTCCTGCTCCCATAGGAGCATTTAATGGGCAGTAGGTGATGGGATCAAAAATACAGTGAATATTTGAATTTAAAAATTTATTTATTTTTATTTTTTTATTTTTTTCTGGTACCAGGAATCGATCTCATGACCTTGCACTTGCCAGGCAGGTGCTGTGCCACTGAGTTAAATCCCCAGCCCCGAAATTTATTATAACAAAAGACACACTGCCATTATCACCCCTCAAAATACCCCCTCTCAGTTCAAGCACACTAATCCATTATCTTCGCCACTTTCTGAAGCACTTCTGGAAGGTTTTTTTTGGTGAACATCTCTAGTTGTATTGTTGTTGCCTCAATGTCCTGAGCTGATTCAGAACATTTACCTTTCATGGTCATTTTGAGTTTGAGGAAGTGCCAGAAGTTGGGTGGTACAGGATTCAGTGATGAAGTTGATGAGAACACATGGTAGTGATTTTAAGAGCCTGACTTTCTATTCGATGACACTCAGTAGTAGCGTTCACCATATTTTTGATCAAACTTTGTGAAAGATACTCGTTAGAGAGGACTTCCAGAACTGCTTCAGAAAGTGGCAGGAATGATGGGATAAAGCATTCATAGTGAGGGGGAGTATTTTATAGGGGATTAATGGCAATGTGTCTTTTACTATAATCATTTTTTCAATTTAAACAGATGCTGTATTTTTACCAGTCCTTGTATGGATTGAAATGAATACAACATTTTAAACTAAATGCCTGACATACAGAGAGCATCCAACATGTGGTAGAACCTGCCCCCCTCCACCAGGTCTCTTTCTCCATCTGTCTAGAGCAGGTACATCTTCCATCAGATTTTGGTGTCAGAATTGGACATTTTAAACTGGATACAGAAAATGTGATACACACACACACACACACACACACACACACAGTAGAGTATTACTTAGCCATAAAGAAGGATAACATTGAATCATTTCTGGAAAAGGGGGTGTACCTTGAGCCCATAATGCTAAGTAAAATAAATCAGATACAGAAAGTTGACTATTGCATGGCTTCTCTTATATGAGAAACTTGAAGTATAAATAATCTAAAAAACGAGAAAAAGAAAAGATAGGGATAGGAAACAGGCAGATAGACTGTGTGGATTTGGGAGGTGGAATCTGGAGATGGGGAGAGACGGGAGGGAGGCAAGTCAAAGAGGAACTAAAAAGGATCAAGATACAGTATGTATATGCATCAGAACCCCATGATGAATTTTTTACGTATTGCAAACATATACTGAAAGAAAAACCCTGTAAATACTATTGTCTTTGCTCAAACACCTCCTTTGAGGTAGAGGATCAAAATGCTCCCTCCAAAACACAATGAATTCTAAGTTCAGGAATGATTGAATGAGGTCTATCTTCCCTGATTTTGCAACTTAAAAAACTTATTTTATTTTTTAAATTTAAAAATATTTATTATAGTAAAGGCACATTGTCATTAATCCCCCTCAAAATACTCACCCTTACTTTATTTATTTATTTATTTATTTATTTATTTATTTATTTAGGTCTTTTTTGAGACAAGGTCTCGCTATGCAGTTCAGGCTGGCCTTGAGCTCACTTTATAGCCCAGGCTGGCCTCGAACTCACAATGATCCTCCTGCCTCAGCCTCCCGAGTGCTGATCACCCTTGCTTTAAACACACTTATCTTTCTTGCCACTTTCTGAAACACCTCTGGTAGTCTTCCCTCCTGAGTATCTTCAGGAGGTGTGGAAAAAAAAATGCAGTAGATCGTGCTGCCGAGTGCCGCCCAATAGAAAGACAGGCTGGTGAAAAACGTTACCGTGCGCCCCCATCCACCTCACTCACCAGATCTGGCGCCGCGCTATTTCTGGCTCTTCCCCAGAGTTAAAACGACCATGAAAGATAAACATTTTGAGTCAGTTCAGGACACTGAGGCAGCCAGGACAGTGCAACTAAAGATGTGAAAGAGGACTTCCAGAGCTGCATCAGAAAGTGGCCAGGAGGATGAGACAAGTATGTAAAAAACCCACTTTAAAGAAGCAAAGTCGCTAACGATCTCAGGCAGCTAGAAACAGCCGCAGAAAACAAGCCCAAGTCCTCAGTTTGAACTCAGAAGGGAATTAGCTGCCGCTGAATGAAGAGCACTCACCTGGCATCTGGACAAACGGAGGCTGGGAGGAACTGACACTGCCCTGGAAGGGAAGCAGAAGAAGGCAAGTGTTTTCTTCTTTAGGTGCAAGTCCGAAATTAATGAGAACACCCGGAATGTAGTTTACAAGCTTCATTTTCTGGTACTCAGAGGAGTTAGGGGAAAAGTTGGGTTGAGGGAGTCAACTGAGAGTAAGAATTCAAGGGGTGTAGAAAAGTTTTACAAGGGACAGAGGGAAACCAAACTTGTAGATTCTGGTAAATGCGCCAGAAAATGTTTGTGTTAATGCTCCTTCCTCAAATATACACTAAGTAGTTATATAAGTGCATACATATGTGTGTGTGCGCATGTCATGTATACACTTGACGTTTGGCTTCAGCCCTGAGTAGCCGGTTTTAATTGTTGTGCTCCACACAGTACAAAAGCTCCAAGAGGTGTAGGAACCTTGACTGTGACTTTTTCCTGTTTCTCAGAACGGAATGGGATTCGTAATAGATGTAATAAAAATATGTGGAATGGAGACGCTGTCCTGAAAGAACCCAGAGACCAGGGAACGTGGGAGGTTGGGGGATGGGATAGGTTGGTTAGGTCCGACTGAAAGATTGAAGCCTTCATCTTTGGTACCCATGGATGCAACCTTATTTGGAAATAAGAGCTTTGATGACATAATTAGTTAGATTAAGTTGAGGTCATAGTGAATTGGGGTGGATCCTAAATCCTGAATGACTGCTTCCCTGTAAGGAGAGAAGGGTACAGAACACAGAATGTCATGTGACAGCAGAGGCAGAAATGTGAGTGACACTAACTCAAGCCATGGAATACTGGAGATGACCAGCAACCACTGGAAGTTAGGAAGAGGCAAGGAGAAATCCTTCTCTAGGAAGCTTCAGAGACAGCGTAGCCCTGCCCACATCTTGACTTCAGACATCCAGCCTTCAGATTGGTGAGACAGTGTTTGGCTGTTGCTTTAACCCATTCTATTTGTTATAATTTATTACTGCAGCCCCAGGAAGCTCATACAGGGATAGGCTGATGATGAAGCAGGTAAACCACTGTAGCGTGAGAAGTGTCAAGCTTGGGAAAGATGCGTGATGTGGGGTCAGGGCTGCAGTGGGAAACACATCCTGGAGGAAGTGATGCTCCCAGGGACATCTGAAGGGAGGATATTCAGGT